TCCATAATGGGACAGCATTACCCCTTAATTTAACACATTTCCAACCTACCATTCAATACCAAATATATCTCAATTCAACCCCATTTTCACATGCAAGTCGTAGGCTAGTAAATACACTTAATTAGGGCCACAATACCCCTTCAATCAAGCCAATTAGAAGCTTAAAAGCCAACCATTATAAAATCCCCAAATTAAACCTAGAAACCGGAAATTACACTACAAGCGTAAATTTTCCGCAAATGATCACAATTAACGCATAAGGGTTCCAATTAACACCATATCCAACCATCATTCCAACACTAATCATAGCCATCATATAAAATCAGAAAAATGCCCAATAAATTAGAAATTCACCATAATTTCCTTAAACCCATGAAATCATCCACAGTATAACATATATAATCACTACATAGCACTACTATACCATTAGTAAACCAAAATAGCAATTTCTTAGCAACTCACCTCAAATTCAAGAAGCTAACACCTTAGAGCCTTCCCTCCAAAATCAATCCATCTAAAAGCTTTAAACCACCATAGTGAACCCTTGTGTGAAATATTGTCCAAAACCATCGGTGAAAACTCAAGATTTTGGTAGAAATCAAAACTAGAAAATTTAAGAGTTTTTCTCTCTTATGAAGCTCAGCTGAACCAGGGAAGGAAAATGAGACATTTTAGGTGCAAAAGTGAGATAAGAATGGAAGAAACAGCCGGTCGAAGCCTCTGACCGGCTGTGACACGTCACAATCCGGCCGGAATCTGGCTGGATTTCGGGCCGAATTCCTGGCCGGATACAAGGCAGAGCCTTCGATCATTTTTCCAAAACTGCACCACAATCCGGCCAAGAACTGGCCGGATTTCCGGCTGGATTCGGTCCTTCTTCGTTTTTTCAAAATTTTTCCTTCTTTTCCAAGTTCAAACGTTGCACTCCTCCGCTCGTCCGACAAAATATATGTAAAATGAAACCCTCCTTCTTACGAGGCGTCACAAATTCGGCCTCTATCTAGGACCTAAAATTTCGGACAGAATGCTCCCTCAAGAACCCTAGTTTTCTGAAATTTCTTCCAAACCAGAAATTGGTTGCAATTAATCACTTTTCCCACCTCCTTAAGTCATTATAGACCATTTCCAATCATCATAGATAGCCACACAATCATGCTTATATTAAAACAGAAAAATCCCCAAAAATAATAAAACTTGATCATTTCAACCACAAATCAAGAATTAATCCATAAACTTGCATCTTCTACTACCACTAAGCATGATTTAAGCATCAATTAAAGGAGGAGGGTGGTTTTTCACAACTTACCTTAAAACAAGAGAGAGAGAGCTATTGGTCACCTTAGCTTTCCAAATAATTCCACACAACAACTCACCAACACTTCCTTAAGTGGTTTTATGGAGCAAAATCAAGGTTGGATGGTTGAGTAAGTTGATTGAAGCAAGATGGAAGCCAAAATCTTGAAGAGTTTTCTTTCTTTCCTTGCTTAAGAGATTCGGCCAAGAGGAAGAGAAGAATGAGGGATTTTTGGTGAATTTTTAAGATATTTAAGTCAATTGGTAAGACATGCAATAGTAGTCAAATGGTCCAACCAATAACCCAAGTGACACTTGTCACCTTTTATTAAATACCTACCTAACTTGTCTCTCTCATATCTGTCGCGCCCCATTTTTTGAATAAATAAATGAATGGTTTAATAAATGTATTTTGTGATTGGAAAATGAATCGTGATTTAAAAGAAAAATGGGTCTAAATGGGGTTTTGAGAATGCGACGATTTGACCCAAAATTATAGTTTAAAAAGGGTTTTTAAAACTAAATACGGAGTCGCCACTTGGTAATGAGTTAAGGTGTACCAAGTCACCTAAAAATGTATTTTTAAAGAAAAATAGGAAAGAGTAGTGAGAAACCCTTTTTAAACGACTCCTAGTCTACGTAAACCAAGAAAAAAGGTTCGGGAGTCACATTTGACAAAGGGGAAGGCAAGGATACAATCCAAGGCACCCTTTGACTTAGCCAAGGCTAGTTGCGTGATTTAATCAAAGATTTTCTTGTTTTAACCAAAGAATTTATTACATTTGGATGTGCTACATGAAATGCAAAACCCTAGATTCTAAGATGTCTCTTGTAAGGTTTTTGGTCCCAACCACATGAATTGTGGCGGCCAATGAAAGAAAACCTTATAGAGGTCGATTAATGCAAATGATGATTCAAGTGCAAGTGTGCAAGTGTAAAAAAAGGTGCATGTGTACAATTGTATGGAAATCCGAGTGTTTGTGTGCAAATGTATGAAATATAGTGATAAGTGTATATAGATCGTAATTAAGTGCAATTTTGTGAAGTAGAAACCAAAATTGAACAATAAGGAAAGGAAAAGTAATGAGGAAATGTGAATTGAAAAAGTGAGTAAGTGAAAAATTGAGAATGAATGAACCTAAAGGAATGCATCAGGTCGGGTATGGAAATGACTCCTAACTTTTTCGACTTCGATTTTCCCTTTGATTAGAAGGCAAAACTAGCGTGCTAAGGCTATCGAGTAGCCACACTCGCTCGTTTTCCTTATCGGAAGGGGACACTCAAGCAAAATGAACCCTATAGCTAGTATGGGATGCAAAACCCTAAAAATGGAGGGAAAAGGGGTTTGAGGGGCATGCCCAATGATAAAACTAAAGAAAGTTGCATGATATGTGGTGAACAAGCAAATGATGCACTAATGAAAAGAAAGGAAAAAGCCTATTGGGTCTAGCGTTGGACTAGCCCATTCTATGAATTCCGACTAGCGTTGGACTAGTGGAAACGATGAAAGAAGCCACAACTAGCGTTGGACTAGTGTGGTGACGTACATTCATCCATTCCATTCATCCACACTATGGAAAGCAAGTAGACATACCAAATACTCATAAACACGTAGCACGTAACATTTAGCATGCTCGACTAGATGCAAGGCCCTAATAAAGCAAGTAACAAGTAACACATAGGCATGCAACTAAGCTAATGAACTTATTACATTCACTAACTAAAACAAAAGGGGAAGGGAAAATGGACCAAATTGCTCGCCACAGCCCTATCTATTACAAGCCAAGAGGTGTACACATACCCCATTAAAAGAATAATTTAATGAAAACAAAAAGTAAATGATATAAGTAAAAGGAATTAAAGAAAAGCTAGGAAAGCAAAGTAGACATGCAATGCACTTAGCACGTTGGGTCACATAGGAAAAACACAAAGAGGGATAAAAGAAATTATACCTCCCTTGAAATGAAGCTCTAATGGAGTGAAATCAACTTATTTACCCTCCAAAATAATAAAGGGGTCAAGGTGCCAATTTATTTGACAAATAATCACAAATGACAAAAACAAACATGAATTTGAATCAATTAAATCATGTAGACAACCTACATTTAAGAAGTCAAAAGAAGAAAGGACTTGATTGCAAAAATTAATAAAGTCTTGGGGTCAAAATTAAAGAAAAATAAAGTACAGGGGCCTATTCGCAATTAAATTAGGGACCCAATTGAAAAAGGTTGAAAATGTCCAGGGCCACAGTACAGTTAAGGAGAAATTCAGGGACTGATTTGCAAACTTGCTTTCTGGTTTCTTAATGGATCAGGCCATTGGGCCATTTTATTTGTTTGTTTGGGCCAAAACTTCCTTAAGCCCGATCAAAAAATCAAAGAAACAGATGGGCTGGCCTTCACTTTCCAGCAAAGCAAATCCAACCAAAAGAGTGGGCTTCACCTCTTAAGCCCAAACACTTATTTCATTAAACCAAACAAGATAAACAAATCAATTAAAAATTATTAAACCACAATTATGACCTACAATCAAAAATTAATCTATCCACAAAGTCACATAAAATGTGCCAACGGAAAGTTAAACTTAAAAGAGCAAAATTAGTTCAACTCTTCCAATTTTTGGGGTCACATCAGAACAGGGGGAAACTTGAGGGGTTCATATGCAACAAAAACAGGGATCCAATTGAAGGAATTACAACAGTTTCGGGGGGGGAATTATGAAGTTCGACAACCCTCAGGCAAATTGTAAAACAAAGCGAAAACAGAGGGACTGAAATGGACAATTTAGACCCATGGTCTTCTCTCCCAGTAACACAGACATCAATCCGCCATTTTTGTCGTTCTTAGAACCAGAACAATACCAAAATTCAGGCCATTTTCAATCAAAAACAAGAATTACCCAAAACACTTCTCATGCAATATCAATTCGAGTTCGTTCAAATCCCAAAACATGAGAAACGGAGAAATGGAAGACAACAATTCGGCAAAATTTCTTAAGCCTAAGGAAGCGGATTGGCTAACCCAACTAACTCCTTCGCACGGAAAATGTAAACAAAACATCTTTTAATTTAGCTCAGGCATTTCGTCGAACATATTAGGAACATTAAAATTTTACCGGCTCTTTGCTCAAATTGAAGTTGTAATTAGCCGAAAAGATTATCAGAAACTAAGACGTTCAGCTCAATCAACGTATAAAACATTTACAATCAGAAATTATGGACAATCGACAGAAAAAATTGCAACAACCAAAATCATGACCCATTTCAGCAACTTGAAGAGAACTGAAATTGAAAGAAAGAAAACAGCCTACCATATCCTCTCAGTGAAGGTTCGTCGGTGATGGTGGAAGATTCGGGTAGCGGCAGCGACAACGGCGTCCGCTTGCTAATTCCCTTGTTCCTCAGCCTCTTGCCGCGGCTGGCTTTCCCCGCTGAAGCCTTCCCTTTTCCTCTGTTTTTCATTCGCTCCCCTCAACCGTTAGCCTTCTCTGTTTCTTCTTCCCTTTCTTTCCTTTGTTCGATCTTTGTAGCCTTCCTCCCAATCTCTGTTCTTGATTGAAATCCTCCTCTCACTTTGCTGCCTTAGATTTTCCATTCTCCCCTCTTTTGCCGTTGCTCCCTTTTCTGTTGTTTCTTTCCAAAAAATAATCCGCCGGCGATGGTGGATTCAGGAGAGGTGATGGCGCTGATGGTGGACGGCTTTGTGTAGATGGCAGTAGAAGCCCCTGATGTTTTCGATGGCTACGGTGGCGGCGACGGCTGTGGGCGTTGAGAGGTGGCGGTGGCGGACGGCAACAGATGCGGATGAAGATTGGTGGTGGCCTGGGCTGACGTCGTGAGAAGAGGAAGAGATCTGGGGTCGACGGTGGTGTCCGAAAGGAACAAGGGCAATCTCTTCTCCCTGTTGTTTTCCTCTTCAGCCGAAAACGAAGCCCTCTCCCTCTCTCTTGTTTTTCCTTTTCCTTTTGTTTTCTTTTCCAAAGCTTTTCTCCTGCCGTTGCCTTCTTGTCGTAGCTAGTTTTTTCCTTTTTTTTTTGTTTTGCTCCGCCCCCAAAGCCGAAGCCCCTTCCCAATTTCTCAAGCTCTCAGACCAACCCCCCAGACGTCATCCCTCCGCCGCACTTTTTCTTCTCTTTCCTTTTTCCGGCCCTTGAGCCCCAAAACCTCTCTCCAGCTTTCCCCTGCGTTTTTTTTCTCTGTTCTTTTTTTTCGTTGGTCCGCCGCCTCTTTTCCATTTTCATTCGTCCCCTTTTGCTGTTTTTTTTTTAGCCCCCAGACTCCCCCTTCCTTTTTTCGATTTCATCTTCTCTTTTTTTAGTTTTTTAGCTCTCACAAAATTCTACTTTGACCCCCAAAAATTCCTTAACTTCCCAAATGTCCCTAACACCTCACCCCTTAGGTGCTTAGTTGTCTAAAACATAGAAAAGACACTTGTCCAAGTGCATGCAGTCACACTTGTCATTTTCACTTTTTCTTTCTTTTTCTTTTTCTCTTTTTCTTTTGTTTTTCCTGGAAATTAATGTGAAGCCAAAAATACACTAGAACAAAAATAAAATAAAATAAATAACAATAATAAAAATAAAAATAAAAAATAAAATAATAATACTAATAATAATAATAAAATAATAATAATAATAAATAAGAAATGAAAAACCTAAAATTGAAACAAATAAAGCTAAGATGAAATTAATTTAAAAAATCAAAAATTTGGTGTCTACAATATCAATCCAAATTGCAACCTCTACTTATCTCTTAACATCCGATAAATTAACTCCAGTATCTAAAACTTAACCTAGTTGGTCGAATTTTTCCGAACTTTTCGCACTAGTGGGTCCCACGTCCGGTATACGCTCTTAATTTCTCAAAATCCATTCGATACTAGAAAAAGCATCTAAAAATTATATCTGCTCCTTAAAATTATCTAGAAATTTTTCTAATCACAAAAATGCAGAAAACAAGCCATAAAAATACGAGAAATCTAGAAAATGAAAATTACGGGTTCTCACATAAAACATCTACCCTAAAACCTTACAAAGCAAGCCTTTTTATAGGCTTGGCCCGTGTACGTGTGACTGGGCCCAATGGGACTCGGACTAAGTCATTACGTGGGCTGAGGTCCGTGCACACATCAGTCCTCTTCTTTTGAGAAGGATTTGCCCTCAAATCTGGATCTTTCTCATCAAGAAATGGGTTAAAATCCGTGACATTAAAGGTCGCGCTAACATTGTTCTCCTCAGGTAACTCCAATTTGTAAACGTTGTCATTGACTCGTTGGAGCACTTGAAAGGGTCCATCACCTCTTGGGGACAACTTGCCTTGACGCTGCTTGGGGAATCTCTCTTTTCGCAAGTGTAGCCAAACCCAATCTCCAGGCTCAAAAACCATCTTACGACGGTGCTTGTTAGCTTGCTGGATGTATTACTGAGTACGTCTCTCAATGTTTGCTCGAACGGCTTCATGTAACCTGCGCACAAAATCTGCTTTCTTTTTCCAATCTAAGTTTGTGTGCTCAGAGGAAGGTAAGGGTACTAAATTAAGAGGGGTCAGCGGGTTAAAGCCATAAACAATCTCAAAAGGTGAGTAGTGTGTGGCACTGTGAACAGTTCAATTATAGGCAAATTCAACATGAGGCAAACATTGTTTCCAAGTTTTAAGATTCTTTTTAATCAAAACCCGAAGTAGAGTGCCAAGTGTGCGATTGACAACTTCAATTTGTCCATCGTTTTGTGGATGACTGGTGGTGGAGGATAACAATCTAGTGCCAAGTTTAGACCACAAAGTCTTCCAAAAGTAACTCAAGAACTTTATATCTCTATCACTAACAATGGTTTTAGGCATACCATGCAGATAGACAATTTCTTTGAAGAACAAATTAGTAATACGAGATGCATCGCCAGTTTTGTGAAAAGGGATAACATAAGCCATCTTAAAGAACCTATCAACCACGACAAAGATGGAATCATTACCCCTTGGGGACCTCGGTAGTCCCAAAACAAAGTCCATAGACAAGTCTACCCAAGGATAGTGAGGGATAGGCAATGGGGTATACAAACCGTATGGATTTGTTTTAGACTTCGTCTTATGACAAGTGACACATCTACCAACCATGCGTTCAACATCTCGATGCATATGAGGCCAGTAAAAATGCTCTTGTAATATGGCTAGAGTCTTAACAATACCAAAGTGTCCAATGAGGCCACCACTATGTGCCTCTCGAATCAGAAGATCACGAATGGACGAGTTAGGGACACACAACTTATCCACATAAAATAAAAATCCATTGTGCAAGAAATACTTTCCATGTGGATTCTTTATACAAGATGCATAGACTTCCCCAAAGTCATGATCATGGGCATATATCTCCTTGAGCATCTCAAACCCTAACAACTTGGCATCAAGAACAGCAAGCAAAGAATGTCTACGAGATAAGGCATCAGCTACCACATTCATTTTGCCAGTTTTGTACTTAATGACATAGGATAAGGTGTCGATAAAACTTACCCATTTGGCATGGAGCTTGCTTAACTTTGGTTGGCTCTTGAGAAATTTCAAGAATTCATGATCAATGTGTATCACGAATTCCCTTGGACGGAGGTAGTGTTGTCAGGTCTCCAATGCTCTTACAAGTGCGTAAAGCTCTTTGTCGCACGTGGTGTAGTTCAGAGTAGCACCTCCCAACTTCTCACTGAAGAATGCACAAGGCCTCTTGTCTTGCATGAGGACAGCGCCAATACCTATACCAGAAGCATTACATTCAATTTCAAAAGTCTTGTTAAAGTTAGGTAATGCTAGAACAGGTGCACGTGCGAGTTTGTCCTTGAGGGTAAGAAATGCTTGTTCTTGGGCTTCCTCCCAATGGAATTTGTCATTCTTCTTGGTCACGGCTATCAATGGGGAGGCAATGGTGCTGAAATCTTTGACAAATCGCCGGTAGAAACCCATCAATCCATGGAAGTTGTGCACCTCATGGACGGATGTTGGAGTTGGCTATTGCTTGATGGCCTCAATCTTGGATTCGTCTACTTTGATGCCCTGTGAACTCACAACATAGCCTAAAAACACGAGTTCGTTAGTACAGAAAGTGCACTTCTTAAGGTTGGCATATAGATGCGCCTCTCGAAATGTATTAAGAACTAGTCTCAAATGTTCCATGTGCTCATGTTCATTGCGACTATATATTAGAATATCATCAAAGTAAACAATGACAAATTTCACAATGAAATGCCTCAAGACATGGTTCATTAACCGCATGAATATACTAGAGGCATTAGTCAACCCAAACAGCATAACTAGCCACTCATAGAGACTATGTTTGGTTTTGAAGGCCGTTTTCCATTCATCGCCTTCTTTCATCTTAATTTGATGATAGCCACTCCTTAAGTCAATTGATGTGAGACGGATCTAGACGAACACCAAGTTGGGATGATTGGCGGAACTTTGACCCTTCTAGAATCACAAGCCACGAACTAAGGAGATTCTTTAACCCACGACTAGCAAATTTAGTGAACCAAAAGTATAGATAGAAGAACGCCACAATCAAGGAGTTACTTGATTGATAAGTTCACTTGAATAACTTGAGAAAGATTCTCAAATATTCAAAGACGCTCTCTTGGAAAGAGAAAAGTGAAAACTCGCAATTTTATTGATGCTCAAAACTGATCATGAAGGTCTCTTGCCTTGGCTATATATAGCCATACAACTTGAAAACCTAAAGTAACTTGGGAAAACCCTAACTCAGTTAGGCTAGGCCTTTGGGCCAATTCTACTACTCAAATCCACTATCTAATGGTCAGCTTATAATCGATCCAATGAAGGCTTTTAAGCTGGCCCAACATAACCCAATAAAAGCTAATTAACCAACTTAAGTAACGGTGAGCCTAGACTCTATAAATCGGATCCAACTCAACATGAGGTCTTGGACCGAATTTATTCCTCGCAAATAAAATAGAAATCTGGAAAATAAACTACTAACTATTACTAAAAGATTCAATCTCTTGCAGCCCAAAACATGGCCCATAAGCGGCCCATATGTCGTATCATCAATTTTAGTGAATATAATAGCACTATCGAGTTCATCAAGCATATCATCTAGTCTAGGGATGGGATGACGATAGTTAACAGTAATAGTATTGACGGCTCTACAGTCAGTGCACATGCGCCAATTACCATCCTTTTTGGGGACAAGTATCACAGGCACAGCACAAGGATTTAAACTTTCTTTTACCCAACTCTTACCTAATAGGCCATCAACTTGTCGTTGAACTCCTTTGTCTCCTCTGGACCCATGCGGTAAGCTGGTTTGTTTGGTAGTGGTGCTCCAGGAATCAGGCCTATTTGGTGCTCAATCCCTCGAATGGGTGGTAAACCATCAAGGACCTCATCAGGGAACACATCCTCGAATTCCTGTAAAAGAACAACTATACTCAAAGGCAGTGCCTTATCAAGCTCAACAACATCTAAAAGCATATGTTTGCAAATCATGAGAAATTCTGGCGGATCAGAATTCATAACTTTTCTAATGTCCTTAGTCTTAATGATCATGTTTTGCTTCCTAGTGGTAGGTGTAATAGGTGAATTGTCATGCGTAACACTAGGTGTGCTCATTTGACCCTTGGTCAATTGCTCACTTGACCCTTGGTCAATTGCTCACTTGTAGAAGTGGAGCTTTTGCCAGGGTCGACCACCTTTTGTTTCCTCATTTGACGTCCTGTTCACATTCTTTTTGCAATTTAAGTTGGCTCCCATACACTTGTGCAGGTATGAGTGGTGTGA